CCCCCTAACCACAGTTAGTTCCTCTTTCTGTGAGCTTTAATTATCCAGATGATCATTTATCATTCCTCCCTGAGCACTCACCTTCCTGGGTAAACAGGAAAAGAGGCCGGATTTGGGCTCCCTCTCCCTCTTGGAGTCCCAGAAGGGACGATGATTTCATCACCTGATCAAAAAATCCCTCGGGGAGGGGGGGGAAAAACGGGGACAGGCAAGCCACTCTCGTGCTCACGTGAGGCCAATTGCACTCCACACTCAGCCCCCTGGCATTCCAGCTATTCCCAAAATCCAGGGAAGGCCTGGCCGCCACCAACCCCACCTGGGAGCCGCCGCCCTCGCGCCTCGCCCCGCCGGTTGTGGCAGGGAAGGGTGACGGGGGGGAAGGGGGGGTTGGGGGGGAAAGTGGGGTGTGATGAAGGCCCAGATTGTGAGGTTTAATTGCAAGCAAGTGCAGTAAGAGAGAGGGCTGGGAAGGCTGAGAAATCAGGGGGGAGAAGCCCCTGATTTCTTGTGGGAAACGTTTTTTCAGCTAAATGGGCGTCCTGGGCGAGAGGGACATGGAGGGGGTGGAGTGGGGCCAGGGAAGGGGATGGAGCTGGAGCAGCAGGAGAAGGGGCTGGAGAAACTCCTGAGGGAGCTGGGGGGGCTCATCCTGGAGAAAAGGAGGCTCAGGGAGGACCTTTTGGCTCTGGAATTCCCTGACAATTTGGGGGAGCCGGGTGAGGGTCAGGATCTTCTCCCAGGTGATGACACAGGAGGAGAGGGAACGACCCCAAGCTGTGCCAGGGGAGGGTCAGGTTGGGCATGAGGAGGAATTGATGACCCTGAAGGTCTTTTCCCACCTCAGGGATTCTGGGATTCTGTGCCATGGGATGCTGCACATGAGCCAGATGAAATCCCTGGTGCCAACCAGTGCTGATGCCACAGAGCAAGAAAACTCATAGAGGAGGCTCTCAGGTAAACCAAGGGCTACCTGAAATCCAGATGGATCCTATTTTAATGCCAATTGTTCAGCAGTTTATGAAATAGGTGTCTTATTGTGGTTTTTTTTTTTCCCCCTAGTAGAAAAGTGCCTCCACCTTTGGTAGCTCTTGGTGGTGGAACACAACGAGTTCTTCGGATTTTTGGGAGCCAGAAGCGCTGACAATGTAATATTTTATGGAGTTTTTCAGAAATATGCTCCTGGGCAGCAGAGTTCAGTGCTCAGGAGGGCTGAACTGCCCCCCCCCTCTGCAGCACCAGACCAACCTCTGGTCATGAAATGAGGGCCACCAAAGGATGTTGCTGTGGGGTCCTGACTCACTGACTCCCTGACGTGACCAGTCCAAAGGACCAAATTGCTCATAAATGTAATAGAGATCCACAAATAAGGCGTCAATTGAGGGTAATAATCCAGCCCTCCGATGTTTCCCACCTATTACAAAACGCTGATAAATTTATGTGTGCTCTTAGAAGGGAATTTCTTGCCAATCAAATATAACGACAGGGTGTAAAATAAGTCGCTGTAGAAAGGGAGGTGCCCTCAGTGATGGCTTTGGTGGCCAAGGAGAGCACAAAGAGCTGTTCCAACAGGACTTTGAGATGCTCCTCAGCAAGATAACTGCTGTGAGGGCACCTGAAAGTGCTGGAGGACAATTTCCTCACCCAACAGCTCGAGGAGGAGGAGGAGATGGGAAGAGATTAATCTGCCTAAATATTCAACCCCTCAACCCAAGCCAGTTCCCTGTTCCTTTTGCAGCCAGCACGGGCCTTTTTGACGCAGCCAAGGGTGATTCTCCACCCTTGAATCATCAGATGCCCAAGACAAGCAACCCACACGCTCTGCAAGTCCCAATTTATTCCTAAAACCCCCCTGGGGGGGGGGGCAGGGGAGCCTCGAGGGGAGAAACTGCCCGTGGGGTGCTGAGTCTGTGGAAAGGCTGAACCATCCGTGAGGTGCCGCCGGGAGAATGTCACGAGCAAATCCATCAGCTCACGAGGGCTCAGGGAGGGAATTCCAGGCTCTCCATGTCAGCACTGCCAAGGAACCGGTGCTGACTCTTGGAATCATCCATAGGACTCCTGGTTTGGAGCGTAAACAGGATGTGCTGCTCATGCTGAAGGGGTTGGGATGGGTTGGGTTGGGTGGGTTTTTCTCCCGTCTCGCAGGGCTAAGTGTAGCCTGAGGAGCACATCCCACCTCTGTGATGGGAATATACCTGTGGAGCCCAGTTTTTTATCAGCAAAAACCCTTCAGTGTGGCATCCTAGGCCTAAATCCCACCTAAGGTAGAGCATTTTGCACTCGTCTAGCAGCGAAAAACGTCTTTAAAGATATTTAAAGGGATACTTTGCCTGGAAGGGTTTAATGAGGTTCTCAAGGCAGTTGTGCCCCTTGTTGGTATTGCCAAGGGTGGATGTTGTTAATCAGTGGGTGAATTAACTGATTTAAAAGGTATCAAAGAAGCAGGAATTAGTGGAAGCACTGGTGGCCTGCTGGGAGATCAACTGTTCCTCTCCATGAGAACCGGGACGGGACGTTTCTCATAGCAAACCAAATTAATTGTCCATCTTCCCTAATAACAAACCACTGGGAAAAACCCAAAGGTATCATCACATTATGGAAATCAGGAGCTGCAAACACCCCGCCAGTTCAGTCGTAGGAAATCTGCTTTTTGAAAAGCAATTAATTCCCTACCTGCCTTTTTTTTTTTTTTTTTGATTGTTTGCTTGTTTTTAATGACTGCCATCCCCGGTGGGAACCACATGACTTTGAGGTGGCGACGAAAACCGGGACTCGCTCAGGATCACATGCTTTTTTTCCCCTGCAACCCACAGGGCTTTCCACCAGAAATTAGGATGTGAACAAATATGCAAAGCATGTGGGGGGTGGAGCCTGGGCAGGTTGTTAGTGGTCAGGTGTCCGTACCCCTGGGCTGCCGCGTTTCCGGAGGTGACGCCGCTCGGGCCGTATAAAAGCTTTGCATCTTCGGGGCTCCCACCACTCCGTTTGGGCTTCTCGCCTCGCTCACCTGCACGGGTGAACTCGGTAAGTCTCCCTCTTGGATCCGTCAGGGAACGGCGGTTCTCGGGTTCTTGTTGGTTGGTGTGGTCAAGAGGGTGGTTTTTTTTTGGCAGTTTCTGCTCCGGGATTTGTCTTGTTGGATGTTCCGCTCTTATTTAGGGTTTGATTCACCTTAAGCAGCTTGCAAATGTTCTGTCACCCTCCTCAGAAACCGTGGTTGTCTCTCATCCTCCCTCCTATTCTGTCTCGGTGTGATTTTTTTTCCGTGCCTCATTAAGTCTGGAAATTAAATAAACCAGTGGATGCTGCCGAGTAACTCTTGGCACTTCAAAAGGGCTGGGTGGGAAGAGGCATTATCATCTGGAAGGAGGAAGCTGCAGAATTCCTGCAGGCAGAGCTGCAGGAGACACCTGTGAGAAGTCAAGAGGAGGAAATGACTCGGAAACGGGACCTGCAGCCTCTGGGCCAACCCTTCTTCCTAGGAAAGGATGAATTTTGAGACAATTCTGGTGACATCCCACGAGCCGGAGGATCCTCAGGTTGAGTCTGCAACCTGGTCTAGTGGAAGGGTCCCTGCCCGTGGCAGGGGGTGGAAGGAGATGATCTTTAAGATCCCTTCCAACCCAAACCATTCCATGGTTTTATGGGGTGATGTCTGAGTTTGTGGCCTTTGGGCACCAGCAGCTCGATGTCTGCTCCCAGAGGGACGTGGTCCTGGTGGGTGTGAGGGCCTGAGGAAGTGATAACCAACAGAAAAACCTCGGAGAATTTCCTGCTTTAATTAAGAAAACAGAGAAACAAACTATTTTCATGTCACCCCTTCTACAGAGCTTACCCACGGGCAATTCTCTAAAACAGATGGCCCTGCCCTGGGCTTCCTAATCCGAATCCAGAAACCACCGGCACGGGCGATATTTTCCAACAGCCCCAAAAGGGCTCAGCTGGGAATCGGGGGTCAACTCACCCTGACTTCTGTCTCTCTTTCCAGCCTTGCCTTTAGGTCCAGCACCACCCCCAGCACCAAGAAGGATGTCCTACTACTACGAGCAGTGCAAGCAGCCCTGCCTGCCCCCTCCCATCTGCGTGCAGAAGTGCGCCAAGTGCGTGGAGCCCTGCAAGACGGCGTGCGCCGAGCAGTGCGTGGAGGTCTGCCAGGCCCCCTGCGCCACCCCCTGTTGCGCCCCGCAGTGCGTGGAGCCCTGTGCCACCCAGTGCACCACCTCCTGCGCCCCTCAGTGCGTGGACGTCTGCGCCCAGTCCTCCTGCGCCCCGCAGTGCGTGGATGTCTGCGCCCAGTCCTGCTGCGCCCCGCAGTGCGTCGACGTCTGCGCCCCGCAGTGCCCGGCCCAGTGCGCCGAGCCCTGCGCCCCACAGTGCTCCACCAAGTGCCTGGAGACCTGCCAGGCCCCCTGCGTGGAGACCTGCACCACCAAGTGCGTCGAGTCGTGCGAGACGGTGTGCCTGGAGCCCGCCTGCTCCCGCCCCTGCTGATGGCCGAGGTGCCTACGGAACGGATAACGGAGTTAACGGACCCCCCCGTCGCCCCTCAGCCACGTGCTGAGACCTCTCCTGCTCTGCTTTTGTCTTGGAAAATGTCTTCTCTGTGTGTTTCCCCCCTTTCCTTCCTGTGACGCTTCTGCTCCTGCTGCCTCAGCACCTTTTCTCTTTGGTCGCTGCCGTTGGCCGATGTCAGGCTGGTGGGCACCTTGGGAAGATGCTGAGCCATGGTGGTGCTGGGAAAAGTTGTTGGGCCATGGCTGTGCTGTCCAAGGTGTTCATCCATAGTCGTGCTGTCCAAGATGTTCATCCATGGTCGTGCTGTCCAAGGTGTTCATCCATGGTCGTGATGTCCAAGGTGTTCATCCATGGTCGTGCTGTCCAAGGTGTTCATCCATGGTCGTGATGTCCAAGGTGTTCATCCATGGTTGTGTTGTCCAAGGTGTTCATCCATGGTCGTGATGTCCAAGATGTTCATCCATGGTTGTGCTGTCCAAGGTGTTCATCCATGGTCATGATGTCCAAGGTGTTCATCCATGGTCATGCTGTCCAAGATGTTCATCCATGGTCGTGCTGTCCAAGGTGTTCATCCGTGGTCGTGCTGTCCAAGGTGTTCATCCATGGTCGTGCTGTCCAAGATGTTCATCCATGGTTGTGTTGTCCAAGGTGTTCATCCATGGTCGTGCTGTCCAAGATGTTCATCCATGGTCGTGCTGTCAGCAGCTGGTGGTGGAAGATGTCTCCTCTTCTGCTCTTTCCTTCTCACCTTTTCTTTAATGTCCATCCTCTTGTCTTGTGATGTCTGTGTGCAGCAATAAAAATTGACCGTCGATGGCATCCTCTTGTCCTTCTGTCGTTCTTTTCGTCTCCACCTCCTCAGACCTGAGGACGCCTTCCCTTAGTTTTTATCCTCCAAAGCTGCTGTGATTGGGGGAGGGTTTTGTGCCTCCTGCAAAAAGCACTTTAATGTGGAGCAATGACCTTGTAATTCCAGAAGGAAAAACATCACCTGGTCAATGCTTTCCTGGCAGATGAGTGAAAACAATGACAGAAAATCTGATTTTCAGCTTTATTAATGACAGGAATTTGGTGTTTATATCTCGAGATTTGGGGCGGCAAAGCTTAGAAACTGTTAAAAGGTAAATTGAACCAGGGCAAAGCCTCAAATTCAAGCCAGAAGGAACTGAAAGTTCCTGCTGGAATTTTAATTATTCCTTATAAAAATCCTGATTTCGACAACAGTGGTGGATTGGATGAACTTGTTCCATGATCCCCACTGACTAAATGTAGAAAAGAGGGGATTTGCCTTCAGGAGACGAATCTTTTTGTGGTTCACAAGCAGCTCTGAGCCCTGAGCTTGCAGTTTTGCTGCCAGGATCTGCAGAGCCTCTGGGTGGCTTTGGACAGGTCCATTATCTGCCCATTTTCCCCTCTGTGCCACCAGGAGAAATCCCCTCCCTGACTGAGAGATTGGAGTTTCGGGTTCATCGACACCCGGCAGGTGCAATAACATTTTTCTCTGCTTTAAATAAATCTTTATTTATTATAACCTCGAAGCCAAAGCAGGCCCATTGTCTGGAGGGACGCGAAGCCCTTTGAAATCCCAAATTTCGGAGATAAAGCTCCCATTGTCCTCCCGGGGTTCGTGCATGTGACTCGTTCAACCTCTGGCTCCGGGAACGGCCGAGCAATTTCCATGTCTGGGACGGTTGAGAATTGCTCCCCACCTACCATATCATTACGGAGAGGGTGGGGAATCTCTAATCTGGAGAAGAAAAAGAGTTATATTTAGGTGTGTGCCGCTGTTACCAAACGAGGTGTTAATGAGCCCTTGCTGTGGAATTCAGCAGCAGGTTCCTTCTTTGCGCTCCAGTCTGTCGACACCAAGAGGTGACACCACCAGATCTACCAGCTGACGGAACGTTTTTCTCAGTGCCTTCCCTCGGGAAAAACAAAACAAAACAAAACAAAAAATCTCCAGGGGGATCAACATTTTTCCTCGACGTGGATCCATCCCCAGAATTAAAAAAAAAACCAACAAAAACCAGAGAAATTCTGCCACAGCTTCAGCAGGTTTTCAATTCATTACAGATGAAGTTGCTTCAGTGAAAAGCTACTGTAAAGTGCAAGAAAAAACGACTCAATAATTTACATCTCTTTTTTTTTATTATTATTTCTCCCTCTTTGCTGCACCAGGCACAGGAATCCCAGCCAGGCTCTGGAATAACCCCAGAGGAAGCGGCAGGAGGCACCTGTTGGACTGAGCTCATCAGGTTTTCCGGTGCTGGTGGGGGAAAAAGGTGTTGCAAAAGCTCTGACAAGGCTTCTCTCCTATGCACCTGTGGTCAGCCCTGGGAATTGCTCGAATTCCTGGGACATTTGCAACAAATTGGTGCCATTTCATCCGTGTCAGCCTGCAGGAGGTCAGGGAGCCCCTGCTGAGGATGTGTCAAACACCAGTAGCTGGGTGGCTGTGGTTGTTGATGGGAACAGCCAAGAATTGTTGGTAAAAACAGCCAAGGATTTTTGATGGGAACAACCAAAAACTGTTGGTAAAAACAGCCAAGGGTTGCTGGTGGGGACAGCCAAGGATTTTTGGTGGGAACAACCAAGAATTGCTGGTAAAAACAGCCAAGAGTTGTTGGTGGGAATAGTCAAGGATTTTTGGTAGGAATAGCCAAGGATTGTTGGTGGGAACAGTCAAGAATTGTTGACTGGAACAACCAAGGATTTTTGGTGGAAACAACCAAGGATTTTTGGTGGGAACAACCAAGGATTTTTGGTGGGAACAGCCAAGGATTGTTGGGAACAACCCCCTGTGAGAAAGAACAGGATGAGGCTGGAGAAGGCACCACAGTGCTGTGGCCTGGTTGACAAGATTGGCCCAAGATTGGGCTGGAAGATCTTTTCCAACCTCAGTGTCTCTGGGATTCTGGGATCTCTCCACGTTATCACCAATCATTAACTGCAAGTGTTTTATTCAACTTTTTTGGGGGGGAGGAAACTGGAGAAGGGCAACAGCAAAACTCAGAAGGCCAAAGATGGACCTGCTGCCCTTCCCAGGAAGATTTCTGGGCATCTGCCCTGTGGTCACAGCCAAAATCATCACCTCAATTTTATATTTTATATGTTCTCCTCCCCCCAGAGGGGATGTGAGTTGTGTCCCAGCTCTGGGATCTTTGCCCAGGACAGGGACGAGGCGAATTATTAACGAATTAGCCCGTGATTACCAGTCTGGGCATGCCTGGCATTAAAAAAAAAACAAACAACAAATCCCCTGCACCTGCAAGAGGAGGGATCTTTCCCCAGACCTTGACTGTGGTCCAGGTGCACGGAGGTGTGAGCGGAGCAGGTTCTGGTTGTGAAAGATTCTGGTCATCAAGTTAATCTGTTGTCATCATCTGCCGGGGCTGAGTCCCGAGAGGGTATAAAACCCTCCTGGCTGGGGAAGCTCCTCACCTCCAGTGGCTTCTCCTTCCCTTCTCCCAGAGCAGGAGACACCAGGTGAGTCCTCCTGGGCCCCTTTTGCTGT